GAGTATGGGTCACCATACTTGGCCACATGTCACGTCACTTTTCACTTTTTCACTTTTCACTTTTCAATATTACAGCGAGAATAAAAGTTACTCCTTCTTTCTTTGCGTGAACATTTGTGTGGCGTTATGCAAATCTTCCCACACAGTTAGGTAGATATGTGGGGGCGTGTTCGAACGAGCCGTTTTAGGGGGGTGTGGCTGACTCTTAACTTTTATAAAGAATATCTCTTTGGATTTGAGACTTTAGTCTTTGCAACTTTACAGATCTTCTTTATGCACCAAGAGCTTGTAACACTCCAAAGAGAAAGGAAAAAATGAAATTGCATCATATGACCCCTTTAAGTTTTAACGCAAGGTATGTAATCAGATTACTTTTTCAAGTAACTAGTAACATAACGCATTACTTCTACATTTACTAGAAAATATCTGAGTTACTTTTTCGGTGATATATTCACTGACAGCTCTCCTGTCCCCATGTTGAGAGAAATTGGTAGTGAGGTACAGAGGCACGCACTTCAGGCTGATTAATTTCACTTTTGGTGTGAAAGGGCCTTTACTTTTGCCAAAAATAAAACATTTGGGTTTTTAGTTATTTAAAATAAATAAGCAAGCCCAGCTCAGATGACAAAAAGTAACGCAAAAGTAATGTAATGATTTACTTTCCATAAAAATTAACTAAGTAATGCAATCAGTTACTTTTTTATGGAGTAACACAATATTGTAATGTATTATTTTTAAAAGTAACTTTCCCCAACACTGCCTATCTGTATTCTGAATGTTCATATATAATTTTTTTAAAAATTAAAAATATGGTGAAAATGTTTTTTTTTCCTGTTGACAGTATTTTCAGATTAATGGAGTCATAAAAAGAGATACACAAAATCCATTCTATAAATGGATTTAACTCTTAATTTCTGAATGTAGCTTTATCCAGTGTTCTGTTCTTTTTTACCCAATTTTTTACCCAAGCAAAAATGTTACCCTATTCCCCTGTGGTGTCGTGTCTCAATAGCTAGAGCGATATTTAGACCATTCAAAGGATTCGAGCAAGCTTTGCTGTGTTGCTGGGACTGACAAGTTTACACATCTCTTCCGTCTTTTTCTTAACCCCTTAACTGTCACTCACATTTTTGAACATAGACATGAAAGTGCACGATCCAAACTTTAATTTTTATAATTCATGAACGAAAACATTTTGTAACATGATATTGATGTACCATTTTCATGGTAATGCAATGTTTGATTTTAAAATGGGTTTCAAATGATGAATTTTGAGATTTAAAGGGGTCATGATAAAAAAGACAAGAATGAGAACCTGTCTGAATTCACTAACATATCTGTATGCAACATGCATGAATTGAGGAAGTGGGAAATAGAACATTATTTTGTGTATTTGGTGTAATGAAATGTGTTTATGCAGTTTAAGGTTCAAAAAACACATTATTTTCCACATACTGTACATTATTGTTTCTCCTCTATGCCCCGCCTTTCTTTTAAAGTTTTCAATTGATATATAATTTCTGATGATTTCTAAAGTGTGATCGAGAAAAAGGCAACAAAGAAGACTTTTTTTTTTACAAAGGTCAGAACTCCTGTTATGATGTAGATTTTTGAGGTGCACTCTTGTCATAAATTAATCTATTACTTTTCCTACATAATTTTTAACAAAAACATTGGTAAAATATCTATTTAGGAGTCTTAGACCTTTCCAACGATATATAGTTTGTCATGATTAGATTAGGATTTAATTGTAATATAGTGAAGTAAACTTAGGCGTCCCAGAGAGGGGACGGGTGACAGTTAAAGGGTTAAAGATTTCTCTTTCTCTCACTCCATCACTGTGAGAATCACCCTGCAGAAACAGTTTACATCAGGTTTCACACAGATTACTGTAACACATTTGTAATGTATCCTCAGGTGAAGATTAGTCTGAGGATTTCTTTTTTTTTTTTTCTAATTTCCAGACAAGTATGTGTTCGTATAATATTTTTATGGACAGAATCCATTTTGTTTTATTATTGTGACCATTTGTGACAAGATTTTTGAGAGTAATTGTAACAATAAATTATTTTCAGAATTTTATTTAACACAAATGACTGATGCTAATGGTTATAAATAGAAATAAAGTATTACTTCCGAATCTTTAAACACTGTAATTTAGTTGATCAATATATATTATATAATACGTGCATAATTATTATGCAATTTGATATTGCGATCATATTTTTTTACAAGCACATTTTATTGATTCCAAACCACATCAATCCTAATAACTACTATTAATTTTGTATTTAATCATTTATAAGTGGTATGTAATTGTCCATGAAGGTCAGAAGTGAAAAACACCTTATATTCAGGTGTGCATAATTATTAAGCATGTTTTCTTTTACAGAATGAGCCAAAAAGAGATTTAACTCGAACTGAAAAGTAAAAAATTATTAAATGCTCATGAGAAGGATGTAATACTAAAGCAATTTACAAAGTAAAGGCATGGCCATTAGACAGGGCAATGAAATGCTCATTGGGTCAGCAGGGTCAGAAAAAAACAGGTGGAGAAGAAAAGACACGTTAACTGCAAATTAATGTGAAGAATTAGGTGTAAAACCATTAGGAGGAACCCTTTAGTCTCCAGTGCCACCATTTTCCAGAACTGCAACCAACCTGAAGTCTGCAGAAGTGCAAGGCGTCACTGTATTTTACTACACTTCAGCATGTGATTCTTATTAAGTCATTTTTTTAGGATTTTTTACCCAAGCAAATTCTCTGAGAACCTGACACTTTGCACTTCTGGAGACTCCAGGTAGGTTGCAGTTCTGGAAAATGGTGGCACTGGAGACAAAATGGTTCATAATAATAATTATGCACACACTGTAATACACGATTGTTCAGTTTGGGGTTGATAAGAGTTTGTAATGCTTGAAACCAACAACGCCAACAAGAGAGTGTAAGCTGCTTTACTTTAACAAAAGCAATGACCAGAGGCTTACTACACACGCACAAGATATTGACAGAAACTTGAGCAGCGTTGTTTGTGTTCGACAGTGAATGATGCCGCTGGAGTTTCAAGTGAGACATTCAGCTGAGAGGAAAAACCTGATAGTCTTATGAAGCTGAGGGAATTTGTGAAAGAAAAGCCCTAGTTTCACTAAAACTCACATTCTCCTTAATAACATGATGGTATGTGATGACAGAAGTCAAATCCAGGGAGGAAATCCTTAGGTGTTTTGTGATACATTATACTAGAGATGGGTATTCTGGTATTGTGCTAATCTGGTAATTATAATTACATCACACTTACATTATTGTAAGTATTGTGTCATTTTGGCTACATTAAGAGGATCTATTCTGCCCCCTATTGGTCATGATCATTATTAAAAATATTACAAAAGACAAGCTTTCAGGTCAGTTTTTTTATTTAACAATAATGCAAAACCCCAAACACTATTAAACAGATGTGTAAAAGCAGATGCATGAAATGATTTATACTCCACTGTAATTACAGCACAGCTAACTGCCTGCTCTGCTGCTGAGAGGATGTAGGCCCAGTAACTTCCTCTGGAGCTGAGCTTTGGCCAGGTCAGCAGAGAGAGCGTCTGCCATCCTGTCTGTGGTCTGCTTCATTAGAAAAGCTGCCTGCAAGGCCTTGTCCAATGTCTTATGTATTGATTCCTCCTGAAAAGCATTAAACAAAAATTAATACATATCTATGTTGTATGTGAATATGTAATACACTAGTAAAACTACTGTTAAAAAGTCTGGAGTCAATAACATTTTGCAATATTTGTAAAGTCTCGTATGCTCACCAAGGCTGTATTTATTTGTTGAAAAGCACAGTATTATTGTGAAATATTATTACAATTTAAAATAAATGTTATATTTTAAAATGTCATTTATTCCTGTTATGGCAACGCGGGATTCTCAGCATCTATTACTCCATTCTTCTCACGATCCTTCAGAAATCATTCTCATATTCTGATTTGCCGCTCAAGAAACATTTCTTTTTATTATCAATGTTGAAAATATGTGTGCTGCTTCATGTCTTTGTGAAAATAGTGATAACATTTTTTAGATGAATAAAAAGTTTAAAAGAACAGCATTTATTTGAAATCGAAATCTTTTGTAACATTATAAATGTCTTTACTGTTACCTCCTTACAGAATGAACGTATTTTCTTTAAAAAAAAAAAAAACTAAACTAAACCCAAACTTCACAGCAGTGTATGTTAATATGTTATGCAGGAATCACATTCTAAATAATCAATGTTGTAAAGGTAAACTACATAAAATATTAGCATTACTAAATGATGTTTTGTTCTGTTGTGTGGATGTTAGCTGTATAACAGTCTAAACTGACTCTGCTGGTGCGGTGTCGTCTTCCACTGGTCCTCGGTGAGGTCCGTTGAAAGAAAACATTACTGGGAAGCAGTGCTGAGTCAGATTGAGTTGAGCGCTTCCTAGTGGACACTGGTTCTGATGCTTGATCTCGCACTTTAAATCTGGGAAAACAGCCAGTACAAAGTCAAATGCTTTTGTCAAATTTCAGTTAATGTTTAGTGACTAATTTTAGGTGTATTACAGTTTATTAAGCTTGACAGATCAAACTGCATTTGTGCATTGGTAATATGATGTGTTTGACATGTAATGATTCACTGCATATTTCATAGTTTGTTTGCCATTTAACTGTTTAATCGCTTACCCAGCAGGCAGACTGCAGGAGGAGCCATAGTTGACCTGCAGCAGAGGCTTATGGGAAGGATGAGCAGGAATAGGAGGGGCAAGTTTTGTGCTGTTTAAGAAGATGTTCTCCAAGTTTCCCACTGAAACAACAAAGAACACCATTTCCGTACTTACCATTCCACTCTACATGACATACAGGGGTTTTAGTAGGTTTAGTGGTTCCTCACTTGCAGGTCTATAGCTGACACTTTTGTTGGTTCTCTTAGTGTCAGTGCTGGGGATTGTTGGCCCAATGCTGGCTCTCTGATGGCTACCAGACTGGCTAAACTGAGATGTGTCCAAAGGAAAGCTCTCTACTGAGGCTGTGACCATTGAGAGAAGAACATTGAGTACCTTTATCTCACTACATCCTGAACTGCAGCAAAAAGCTATTTTGCTAAAAGCACAGTCATACCTTTGGATGAGGTTCTGGAGTCATGTGACCTCTTGTCAGCACTGAATCGGGTGCGTATTAGTCCGTGAGATGGACTGAAGGCTCTCTGTAAACTCATGGTGTGATCTGAATCCTCACCGTCAGTGACTAACAATACACAAATACCCTTTACTTCAGTTTCACTGTATAGACTTTAACAAACACCAATATTTAACTGCTTTAAACCACATTTATTACATATAACAAGTGTGAACCAAATTGTCATGCTGTCACCTTTGCTCTTGCTGAGCTCCATATCAGAAGAGATCCAGTCCTCAATAAAGGTCAGAACTCCTGTTATGATGTAGATTTTTGAGGTGCACTCTTGTCATAAATTAATCTATTACTTTTCCTACATAATTTTTAACAAAAACATTGGTAAAATATCTATTTAGGAGTCTTAGACCTTTCCAACGATATATAGTTTGTCATGATTAGATTAGGATTTAATTGTAATATAGTGAAGTAAACTTAGGCGTCCCAGAGAGGGGACGGGTGACAGTTAAAGGGTTAAAGATTTCTCTTTCTCTCACTCCATCACTGTGAGAATCACCCTGCAGAAACAGTTTACATCAGGTTTCACACAGATTACTGTAACACATTTGTAATGTATCCTCAGGTGAAGATTAGTCTGAGGTTTTCTTTTTTTCTTTATTTTTTTTTTCTAATTTCCAGACAAGTATGTGTTCGTATAATATTTTTATGGACAGAATCCATTTTGTTTTATTATTGTGACCATTTGTGACAAGATTTTTGAGAGTAATTGTAACAATAAATTATTTTCAGAATTTTATTTAACACAAATGACTGATGCTAATGGTTATAAATAGAAATAAAGTATTACTTCCGAATCTTTAAACACTGTAATTTAGTTGATCAATATATATTATATAATACGTGCATAATTATTATGCAATTTGATATTGCGATCATATTTTTTTACAAGCACATTTTATTGATTCCAAACCACATCAATCCTAATAACTACTATTAATTTTGTATTTAATCATTTATAAGTGGTATGTAATTGTCCATGAAGGTCAGAAGTGAAAAACACCTTATATTCAGGTGTGCATAATTATTAAGCATGTTTTCTTTTACAGAATGAGCCAAAAAGAGATTTAACTCGAACTGAAAAGTAAAAAATTATTAAATGCTCATGAGAAGGATGTAATACTAAAGCAATTTACAAAGTAAAGGCATGGCCATTAGACAGGGCAATGAAATGCTCATTGGGTCAGCAGGGTCAGAAAAAAACAGGTGGAGAAGAAAAGACACGTTAACTGCAAATTAATGTGAAGAATTAGGTGTAAAACCATTAGGAGGAACCCTTTAGTCTCCAGTGCCACCATTTTCCAGAACTGCAACCAACCTGAAGTCTGCAGAAGTGCAAGGCGTCACTGTATTTTACTACACTTCAGCATGTGATTCTTATTAAGTCATTTTTTTAGGATTTTTTACCCAAGCAAATTCTCTGAGAACCTGACACTTTGCACTTCTGGAGACTCCAGGTAGGTTGCAGTTCTGGAAAATGGTGGCACTGGAGACAAAATGGTTCATAATAATAATTATGCACACACTGTAATACACGATTGTTCAGTTTGGGGTTGATAAGAGTTTGTAATGCTTGAAACCAACAACGCCAACAAGAGAGTGTAAGCTGCTTTACTTTAACAAAAGCAATGACCAGAGGCTTACTACACACGCACAAGATATTGACAGAAACTTGAGCAGCGTTGTTTGTGTTCGACAGTGAATGATGCCGCTGGAGTTTCAAGTGAGACATTCAGCTGAGAGGAAAAACCTGATAGTCTTATGAAGCTGAGGGAATTTGTGAAAGAAAAGCCCTAGTTTCACTAAAACTCACATTCTCCTTAATAACATGATGGTATGTGATGACAGAAGTCAAATCCAGGGAGGAAATCCTTAGGTGCTTTGTGATACATTATACTAGAGATGGGTATTCTGGTATTGTGCTAATCTGGTAATTATAATTACATCACACTTACATTATTGTAAGTATTGTGTCATTTTGGCTACATTAAGAGGATCTATTCTGCCCCCTATTGGTCATGATCATTATTAAAAATATTACAAAAGACAAGCTTTCAGGTCAGTTTTTTTATTTAACAATAATGCAAAACCCCAAACACTATTAAACAGATGTGTAAAAGCAGATGCATGAAATGATTTATACTCCACTGTAATTACAGCACAGCTAACTGCCTGCTCTGCTGCTGAGAGGATGTAGGCCCAGTAACTTCCTCTGGAGCTGAGCTTTGGCCAGGTCAGCAGAGAGAGCGTCTGCCATCCTGTCTGTGGTCTGCTTCATTAGAAAAGCTGCCTGCAAGGCCTTGTCCAATGTCTTGTGTATTGATTCCTCCTGAAAAGCATTAAACAAAAATTAATACATATCTATGTTGTATGTGAATATGTAATACACTAGTAAAACTACTGTTAAAAAGTCTGGAGTCAATAACATTTTGCAATATTTGTAAAGTCTCGTATGCTCACCAAGGCTGTATTTATTTGTTGAAAAGCACAGTATTATTGTGAAATATTATTACAATTTAAAATAAATGTTATATTTTAAAATGTCATTTATTCCTGTTATGGCAACGCGGGATTCTCAGCATCTATTACTCCATTCTTCTCACGATCCTTCAGAAATCATTCTCATATTCTGATTTGCCGCTCAAGAAACATTTCTTTTTATTATCAATGTTGAAAATATGTGTGCTGCTTCATGTCTTTGTGAAAATAGTGATAACATTTTTTAGATGAATAAAAAGTTTAAAAGAACAGCATTTATTTGAAATCGAAATCTTTTGTAACATTATAAATGTCTTTACTGTTACCTCCTTACAGAATGAACGTATTTTCTTTAAAAAAAAAAAAAACTAAACTAAACCCAAACTTCACAGCAGTGTATGTTAATATGTTATGCAGGAATCACATTCTAAATAATCAATGTTGTAAAGGTAAACTACATAAAATATTAGCATTACTAAATGATGTTTTGTTCTGTTGTGTGGATGTTAGCTGTATAACAGTCTAAACTGACTCTGCTGGTGCGGTGTCGTCTTCCACTGGTCCTCGGTGAGGTCCGTTGAAAGAAAACATTACTGGGAAGCAGTGCTGAGTCAGATTGAGTTGAGCGCTTCCTAGTGGACACTGGTTCTGATGCTTGATCTCGCACTTTAAATCTGGGAAAACAGCCAGTACAAAGTCAAATGCTTTTGTCAAATTTCAGTTAATGTTTAGTGACTAATTTTAGGTGTATTACAGTTTATTAAGCTTGACAGATCAAACTGCATTTGTGCATTGGTAATATGATGTGTTTGACATGTAATGATTCACTGCATATTTCATAGTTTGTTTGCCATTTAACTGTTTAATCGCTTACCCAGCAGGCAGACTGCAGGAGGAGCCATAGTTGACCTGCAGCAGAGGCTTATGGGAAGGATGAGCAGGAATAGGAGGGGCAAGTTTTGTGCTGTTTAAGAAGATGTTCTCCAAGTTTCCCACTGAAACAACAAAGAACACCATTTCCGTACTTACCATTCCACTCTACATGACATACAGGGGTTTTAGTAGGTTTAGTGGTTCCTCACTTGCAGGTCTATAGCTGACACTTTTGTTGGTTCTCTTAGTGTCAGTGCTGGGGATTGTTGGCCCAATGCTGGCTCTCTGATGGCTACCAGACTGGCTAAACTGAGATGTGTCCAAAGGAAAGCTCTCTACTGAGGCTGTGACCATTGAGAGAAGAACATTGAGTACCTTTATCTCACTACATCCTGAACTGCAGCAAAAAGCTATTTTGCTAAAAGCACAGTCATACCTTTGGATGAGGTTCTGGAGTCATGTGACCTCTTGTCAGCACTGAATCGGGTGCGTATTAGTCCGTGAGATGGACTGAAGGCTCTCTGTAAACTCATGGTGTGATCTGAATCCTCACCGTCAGTGACTAACAATACACAAATAGTACTACTTCAGTTTCACTGTATAGACTTTAACAAACACCAATATTTAACTGCTTTAAACCACATTTATTACATATAACAAGTGTGAACCAAATTGTCATGCTGTCACCTTTGCTCTTGCTGAGCTCCATATCAGAAGAGATCCAGTCCTCAATCGTCTGAAGGTTTGAGTCTGTCTTCACACATCTGATGGTATAGTGAGAATGCATATTATGTTTGCAAACCTTTGAAAAACCAACACTCTTATTAGCATCTATGGTCCAATGAAGAAAATAATTATTCTTTTAAGAATTGTTATTTGGTGAACCATATTATACATTATACTCATTATAACTATATTATAGTGAAAAAGGTTTGTCAGATTATTAAAATGTTCTTTACATTAAAAAAAAAAATTCTGTTTCTTTAGACGCTTATAGGATGGGACCCGTTCCTCAACCCCAACTTGAAGTACCTGCTTGAGGCACCTCTGTTCTGGCTACGGGTCTGTCCCTTGTGCTTCCTCTCCAATGGATACCTGCCATTCGGATAATCAGTCTTCTTGCTCTCATGAAGCAGGTGACCAAGGCTTTCCTCTAGCGCCCTCTTGAGACGCGAAACCTCATACTGCAGTGCGAGGATAACCTCACTACTATGAAGAGCACAATGGAAATTATGGTTAATCTAACAATTTGCAGGTAACAATAAACAACTTCCTTTAACACTTACTTGTGGCATGAGCAGTGTGATGCTGAGTGCGTCTCATTTGCAGAATGGCTCTTTCCCAGCTGATCTTCCCCTATTCCTTCAGTCACCTGGTTATGCATGGCAATGGCGCCACCTACTGATGTGTCATCTTCTTTTGGAGCTCTAACAGGTGCATTCTGGGTAATGCTTCTTGCTTCCATGACATGTGTAACTATCTGTTCATATTCCAGGTGGTTCACTGTGGGCTGCACTGGTTGTGGTGGCGCTGATATAGTTGTTCGCACATTGGAGTGGGAGGCTTCACTGTCTGAACCACTGGTATTCGTTATGCTGTTGACATCGTCAGAGAGCGCAGAACTGAAGAGAACATCAGATAGAATGTTATATTTTTAATAAAATGTCAGTTCTGCTATAGAATATCTTTTCATTGATTTATAATATGAATATAATATCACATTTAGTTTAGCATTTTTTAATCTTATCTTTTAACAGTCCCATTTGTGAATATAACATATATACTGTTTGTTTGTTTTCTAGACTAGTAACTTATCAGACACCAAAATGAAATAGTTTGCCTTTGATAATTGACATATATGCTTCCGTCTTTTAAAGCACTAGCTGCCAGTGTGTGTGCATTTACCTCACAGCACTAGAAGGTGTTTGGAACAGTCCTGTGCTTGGCCGGCTTAGGTCAAAACTGCCAAAGCCACTGTCAGTTTCTGGACTGAAAAAGCTCTGAAAGAACAAAAACACTCTCTATGTCATTCTGTCCTTTGAAGAAACAACCTATACCTGCTGCAAGTGACATGCGGAAGCAACAAATACCTTAACAATAACAGTACTTACGAAAAATCCCACAATATCTCTAATGAAAATGATCTGGGGGACTGAAGTTTTTGTACTGTATCTAACATACAACATTTACTCTGTTTGTCTCACAAAATGTAATGCTGAACATGTGAAAAGGAAATGTGATCAATTTATCCCTCTAACAACTGACATTGACATTATTGATATTCTTGCATGCAACTGATTTTTCTCACAGATAAATATAATCTCTTTCTCTCTATGTCATCTTGTTGCAGTGTGTGTGTTACCTGTGTTTTATCTGTGGTTGGCTGAGGAGAGTTCCAAGGAGACGGTCCTACAGAAGTGAAGTAGGCTTCACTATGTCTGATCTTCTCTTCATACCTGAGAGAGGAATGGCGATCACAGCAGCCATCAAAAAACAAGGTTCTTTTACATTTACAATAGTTTTAGATTTGTAAAACTCTGATCATGTTTGCACCATTGTACTTGAGAAAGTTCATTGTTGATGCAACAATGGACTTAAAGGACATTACACATACAAAAAGTGCTGTGGCAGTGCTATAGTATAATGATTATTTACACAGTACTCCACTGTACTTCAAAATACAGTAGTATTAACATAGTACCATATTCAGAAATGTTTAGTTCTTTATTTGTTACTTTCCAATAATATAGACATACCAAGCAGCATAAATCACTAAAAATATCTAATTTTCTGGGCTAACACAACAAACTTTTGATCTCCCTTAAAAGTCGTACAAATTGGTTATTAATTTTTTTTTTAATAGTAGATATTTGCAAATGTGGCAGTGTTATTTTAGTGTAATTGAGATACTATTATAGTTTTAATTCATTATTATTAATTAGTTTTTATTTTTATATTTTCTGTTTCATTTTAGTTAGTTTTATTAATTTTATTGAGTGTTTGACATTTTATTGGTTGTCATTTGACTTAAGCTTTTTAAATGTGTTTCTATAGTTTGTTCATTTTTATTTTAATTATTTTACAACATCAAGTTAAATGAAAATGAGAAATGCTGCTTTGAAAAATAGCTGAAATAAAATAAGTAAACTTTTTATATGTATTTTATTCCAGTCAGTGTAAACAAAGTAAACCAAATATATTTTAGTTTTAGTTTTTTATAATAACCCTAAATCATGCACCTTTGATTTACCCATCTATTATTGTAAAATTGTAAGTTTTAAAATTACAATACACTTTCCCAGTTAAGACTGCACCAGATTGCAAAGCATACACAGCAAAGAATACAAATCTGTCAGTAAATACTGACCTATCATGTGTCAGCTGCTTTAATAAAGTTGAGGAGGATGCTTGTGCCAGGACGTCCTCGTAGTGTTGGTTCTCTCCTGTTGTCAGTCTGTTCTCCTGTTCCTCATTGGCAGTGCCAGCCGTTTCAGTGGAGAAGGTGGAATACCTCAGAGGAAGATACAGAAAAAGAACAGAGGGAACTAAGTGTTTCCATAATGAAACTGATATTCCCTCGTCCCTCCTCTCGACCTGTAACCCGATCAGCCTTGAGTGAGCTGTGCTAAATATCACGATACGCTCTCTCCTCTTACAACCCACATCAGTGATCTTTCTGAGACAAACTAAATAAGGTACTGGACCACAACAAAAAGATTTTTCAAATTTTTGGGGTGAATTATGCCTTTAAGGTATTAATGTTAATAGCTCAAGGATTGTGGAGTATGAACCTGCAACCTTTAGTTTACCACCCCAGAGACATTTCTTTAAAAGTAGCTAGATGCTTAAAAATCTAAGTAGAATTGTGCGTTTTTAATTTAGCAATGTAGATTCAGTTTAAATAATTCATTTGGTTCAGGAGTAAGTGACACTTTTATTGTGTAAACACACAAAATGAGAATATATGTAATTTAGTTCTACATTCAGATGCATTTGTTCCCAATAACAATATAGTGTAAAGAATAAAACATGGCTGTACTGTAGATAGAAGCTGTTTTCTGTTCCCCTGGGAAAAAGCCCATCAGCTGTGTGATCTTCATTGGTCTCTTCATCATCGTTGTCCTCAATGTTGTGTCTAACAGGGGAGATGCTGAAGACTGACTCCTGCAACATGACACATGCTTTTCATTCAGCCCCAGCATCCACAAAACCTATCATGGCAGTCATTTAGTTCTCACGTTACATAGCAAAACAAGCCATGCAAACGGATATGGGGCACACAACAATATCAGCTTCACTGCGTGTGTACACACAGACATGAATAATTTGAGGAGAAATTGTTTAAAGGAACGGTTAATCTGTTAATAATTTTTTTTCACCCTTAGGCCATCCAAGATATAGATGAGTGTTTCTTTTTGTGAACAGATTTGGAGAAATGTAGCATTACATCACTTGCTCACCAATAGATCCTCTGCAAGTGAATGGGTGTCGTCAGAATGAAAGTCCAAACATCTGATAAAAACATCCCAATAATCCACAAGTAATCTACACAACTCCAGTTAATCAATTAACATTTTGTGAAGTTAAAAGCTGCATGTTTGTAGTAACAAAATCCACCATTAAAACATTTTTAACTTGCTTCTGGCTAAAATATGATTCCTCTATGCATAATATTGAAAAATTATACTTTATGGACATTATGGAGATTATAGACTTTGGCCAGAAGCAATGATTTAAAGTTAAAATGCCTTAATGATGGATTTGTTTATCACAAACACATAGCTTTTCACTTCACTGGAGACAGTGTGGATTACTTGTGGATTATTGGGATGTTTTTATCAGCTGTTAAATTGCTAGATGCTAAATTTGTCCAAGTCTGTTCATCTACATCTTAGATGGTCTCAGGGTGAGTAAACTTAAAGCAAATTTTCAATTTTTGGTGTGAACTATTCCTTTAAACAGAAATGACATAAGCTAAAAAGTATGTGTACAGTATATGAATGATTGAATGAATGAGGGAAAGTCACCTAAAATATAGATTAATGTGTGTTACCTCATGCAGTGATGGATGGGATGATGAGACAGAGATATCTTCACAAGGTGGAGGAGAGGGAGTGGAAGATGAAGGAGGATAGAAGACATGGCACACATTTCTTTCAATCTGCTCTTTAATGTCCTCCAGGTGCATGCCTATCCTGAAAATCTGGCCCTCGACCTCCCTTAAACATAAAGGTGAAGACACAACACTTGCAGGTTGACCCTGTGACAGTTTCAATCTCTTCTTTTAACAGCCACATAAGTCAAATTACAGTTACACTGCCTGTCAAATGTTTAGACACACTTGAATGAGTTTATTTGAGAAGATTTGAAGACACCTTTTCATTTAAAGGCATATGCATACAGTATATGACTGAAATTTTGTTCTATATACTAAGTATATTAAGTATAAGTATAAATTGTGTCCATGAAGGAATATTGGTTCACAAAACAAAAACTTTAAATTAGAAACATTTTAATGGCTTTTTGGAGCCAATAGTGAAGGTGGAATATACAATCACATACTTATTATTTAAATAGTTTTGTTGATTATAACAAGAGCTTTCTAGCTTTTTGACATCAGTAGTAAAATACAGTTTGGCCAGATGAGACGTCTACCTGTCAGGGTCAAACTCTCCTGTGTTTCTGGTTAAACCCATGTAGTTCTGCATCTCCAGAGCACGATGCTCCTCCCTCTTTGTGAGGTAATTCCTCTCCAGCTGATCCTGGGCCTCCATCATGCTCTTTAGCACCTGCAGAGAGATCCAACAAACAAGATGAAAAGTTTACATTTGTTCCCATTTTGTAATGCATGGTTGAATTTTGATCTTGTCTGAACAGTGTATGATTATAAATATGGTTTCATGCAATTTATGTTAAATCTATACAGTTACCATCTGTTGCTCCTCTACATTCATTGACATGGTGGTGGCACATGTTTTGAATTCATCCACCTGAAAATGAGGGGGAAAAAATCAGATGCAGCCCAATGCACCGCGACGTTAGGTTCTGCTAAAGCTAAATGTATGAGAGAGAGCTACAATTTTTAGACTTTCTAAAAGGATTTTTAGAGAACTAAAAATACAACATAAGGCAGAGGGCAAAATCTTGTGGTATTTGTCTGTACCTTCTGCATAAATGATCTGATGATGTCTCTGAGCTCAGAGGTCAGTCTCTCTCCGTCTGTCAGGCTGTGTGATTCAGTCTCCACGGGTTGAGAGTTCTGCAGGCTAAACTGCTTCTCGCTTGGACCTGCTGAATAGACATTAGACATGAGGACACAAATTGCATCTAAACATGCAGTGTCGCTTGTTCATTAATTCATATTTTATCTTATAGCACTTTCTATCATTTTGTAACTATAAACCATCTAATATCTGATGTTTCTTGTTTCCCTCTCTTAGAAGTTCTGTTTAACTGCTGAAGAAACCAGCTCAAATTTCCCTGGCAGGGTTTCTGTGCTGTCAGGGTTACAGTGTAGTACAGTATTTCAGCTGGAGAAAGATATACAATGGCTTCTTGCCTGTGGCTGGTGCTTGTGGGTTAGTTGCTGTCAGTTTGGTGTTTTCATTGTTGCTAGTTGCATCATTCCAGTCGATGGTCACAGAGGGCTCACTGGAAGCATGAATCTGCTGCTTAAAAGAAAGCAACAATATAACTGACACAAACTGGGCTGCAAATCAGATTAGAATGAGGGTATGTTGAAATGCAGATCATATGTGTGTACTGAGACCATATATTATAAAGGCATAATATTTGTAATGTTAATATTTAGTGTTATATTCCCTTACCAAGATATACATATAAACATCTATACACAGAAGACATGTATCAACATTAATGGAAGATCCTTAAAAAAACAACAACAAAAAAACACTTCAGTCTAACCTGACCGATTAGGTTTTCAGCTTCTGTATATTTAGCGAGCAGTCTGTCATATTCAACCTGTAAACAAATAAAATGGTAGGTTATTTAAGTTTTGACACTTTTTTTAATGCTTTTGTTCATGCAATAAATGTCACTGGGGTCCAAATATTTTTCTTTTTCTCTTTTCTTTAAAAAATATTTCTTAAATTCTTCAAACTTCCAGACTAGGCTTTCTTAAGCAGCGTCAACGCTTATCTACTACCTTTAATATCTAGTTTACATACTACAATATTACATAAAAATATAGATTCACCTGTAACTGATTTGCTACTTCCTTGTCTGTGAACACATTCTCTGGTGGCATGATGGAGTCCTCTAAAACCCTGCTGATGATATCTGCTGTTGGTTTACAAGAGGAGGCTGATTTACCCAGAATGCCTGGGGACGACTGGGCTCGGACCATAGCTGGTGACTGGCTGATGGGTTTAATGCTTGCATTACCTTTAGGTATTTTGACTTTAGGTGCCACTTTAGAGAAGTCAGGTAGTGGGTAATGCACCTTTCCCTGCCCGTATTTCAGCTCACTATAGGACCTGGTCCTGCTGAAGGAGCACTTAGGCTTTTGTGCATCTGCTTTAGACAGATCTAAAGAGTTAGCACTGCAGTTCTGCTTAGGACACTCTTTATTATCATCGTCATCCCCAGCAGATGCAGCATCACTGATGCAAGTCGACCCAGGTTCCTTAGATGAGCTTGACTCATTTGAAACATTTAGTTCAGCCAATCTATGGCTTTCAGCAATGCTTGGATCAGGCTCCTCCATCACATCCTGAATCTTCTCCTTCTCTCCTACGAAGATCTGTGCAGCCTGAGAAGCTCTACTCCGCACGGTTTCATCAATGCTGTCCATCAAAGACATCTCTGGTAGGGTCTCCGCTTCAATGATCCTGCTTGAGTTAAGCAGCTCCTCCTTGGAGAAGTGTCTGAGCAGGAAGTCATTGATGTGGTCTGCAGGTTGAACAGGTGTGGCTACAGGCAGAGTCACATCCTTTATTGCTTTATGATTGGATAGAAGACCGTGAGTAAGATTAGATTGGCAAGCCTCTGTTTGTTCTGCATTAACAAATGGCATACTTAACTTATCAAGTGTACAGAAATTCTGACTAGGCATCTCAGTAACCGTTTCACATGGAGATGCTTTTAAATTCTTCTCTGTTTTGTAGTTGCTGTGTGCACCATCATATGGGAGCTCTTCATGTTCTTCATCACTGGTGTTGACAGCATCATTCTCATGTGTTCCAATGTCTGGCTTCACTGCAGGGGTGGTTTTCTGTACTGATGCCTTGGGTATGTTTCCCTTCCTGTTTCTGGTTTTTGAATGTTCTGTGCATTCACTACTAACTGATTCAACACTCTCTGAAGAGCCCTCTTCAGTCTCACATGACTCTGACAGCTCTGCATCATCTGTACACAAAATAGCAGTGGGTTGGTTAAACCCACTGGTTTGGTTGGTTGGTTGGTTAAAGTGGGGGGACAGTGGGTTGGTTAAAGTCTTTAATGTTTTAGTAAAATGTTATAATTTAAACCAATTTGTGGTGAAATTGTCTGGAGATCCAGCTGACATTAGGTCATTATGATGTCATTAATGTTAATCAGATTTTAAATACGTTCAATCAATGTCAGTGGGACTTTAATCATACATTCTGAATGATTACCATACATATTCAAAAGGCAGGGGTCAGTAAGATTTTTTTAGTACTAAGTAGTATTAGTACTTTCAGAAGGATGCATTCAAATGACCAAAAGTGACAGTAAATACATTTATAATGTTACAAAAAATGTTCCTTTGAACTTTCTTTTCATCAAAGTGTCCTGAAAAACTTGATCACAATTCCCACAAAAAAAAAATAATTATGCAGCACAACTGTTTTCAACATTGATAATAAAAGGTTTCTTGAGCAGCGAATCAGCATATGAGAATGATTTCTGGAGTATCATGTGACACTGAAGACTGGAGTAATGATGCTGAAAATTCAGCTTAGCCATCACAAGAATACATTTTATTTTAAAATATATTAAAATATTTTTAATTCTAATACTAGTTCAGTATTACTGTTTTTACTGTACTGTTTTATTACTGTATTTTTGAAAAAGTTCTTAAATGTAGGCGTAGTGTATCTGTATTTCATAGCATTTACATTTTCAAGATGTTGAAAACTACTTTTTGGTGCTTTTTATCAGTGGCGACCAAAAACATGGAATTGCATAGTACTTCAACAGTATAAACCATAGTATTACCGTTGAAGTTTTACAATAAGAGGGATTTCATAGTATCTCGACTCTTACCAGTGAGTTGTGGGCTCTCGGATACACCAGAGGCCTGTGAGAGGTGAACAGTTAAGGCGCCCTGCATGTATTTTAAAATATATTAAAATATTTTTAATTCTAATACTAGTTCAGTATTACTGTTTTTACTGTACTGTTTTATTACTGTATTTTTGAAAAAGTTCTTAAATGTAGGCGTAGTGTATCTGTATTTCATAGCATTTACATTTTCAAGATGTTGAAAACTACTTTTTGGTGCTTTTTATCAGTGGCGACCAAAAACATGGAATTGCATAGTACTTCAATAGTATAAACCATAGTATTACCGTTGAAGTTTTACAATAAGAGGGATTTCATAGTATTTCGACTCTTACCAGTGAGTTGTGGGCTCTCGGATACACCAGAGGCCTGTGAGAGGTGAACAGTTAAGGCGCCCTGCATGTCACTGAAATGCAGGCTGTCATCATCGCTGATATCCACAAATATACTCTGCTCGATGTGTCTTTCCCACAGCACTGATGAAGGTCTGCTGTGAGCATCATCTTCACCGTCCATATCCTCTGCGTCTCCCGATGACGCTCCATCAAACGCGCTCCGTGCGCTACTGCGCGTCTTCCGCGCCTCTCTATTCATTTCTTAGCAACAACAATACACAAAATGAATGGAAAACTGTTACAACTGCAAGTGAATTTTTGTTTTTCCAATAACATAATATTATAAATCTACTAATTATATATAAGCCTATAATAAATTAAAATTATAATTATTTCCGAATATTCATGACGTAGCCTATCTTGCTGGATAAATTAGTAAATAATGAAGTAAATTAAATAGTAAAAATAAGTAAATAAAAACAAGAAGCCGAAAAATTAACACTCCAACTCTAAGTTGCTTTAATAATATGACATTGCACTTACATTTGATGCTTGTTCCAAGGGTTTCTAAGGCACTACAAGAGTCTGCGACGTTTTCATTAAAGAATGGCATAACAGCCTATTTGAAAGGTACAATGAAGTCTAGTTTCTCAAGCCTGTGGTGTAGGATCTTCTTGGGCAATTTAAATAATAAATGCCGTATCTGATGCTGATGCTTTGGGCAGGTGCTACACGCGCACGGGGGTGGGGTGAAACAGGTGGTTGCTATGGGAACGAGAAGCCTTAAGATCAGCTGTCAGTCAGTCAGCCCTGCTCTAAAACTGTTTCGTTAATTTGAAGATATAAAATAGCTAATGATTAATTGTTTTATTTTAATGGTCTCCGTTGATTTACTTGACAATTAAAGCCGCATACAAATAGTTAAGTGTTTTAGGAGTTATGTAAAACAATGAAGTGTTTTCCCTCACAGAGTAGAACGATAAAACATTCAAATTTCATTGGTGATTCATAGGGGGTGTGGTTATTTTTGAATCCTGTGCTCTGATTGGCCAGCCGAGTCACGACCACGCCCCCTTTGTCCGGGTTTGTGTAGTTTTCTCTCTACACCGCTTCGAGGGGGACCAAACGAATAAATTAAACGAAAACGGTTTTAATTAATCGGTTTTTACAATATGATTGGATTTAGCTGATTTGTGTTGTCGATTCTGTTGTAAGAGACTGAACCGAGAGAAGGATCGGTGGGGAATCGGAGGAGTTGAGTGAGTATGACTGAAGTTTGGCCCGTAACGGCCGTTAAGACAGACCTGCATGCGCTAACACAACAAAATGTCAACTTAAAAGCCAAAGTTTAAGCTGCAGGTGCCATATTATGATTTCGTTAAAATAGAACGTACTTTGTTTTTTTATTTAATTTAAAAGTAGGTTATCTTCTGTGCCCTCAAGTGATAATATGGTTAAACATTTACATTATTCTACCAGCAATATAGTAATGTTTGTGCTTTTCCTCTGGTTTTGCTCAGGTCTGTACAGAAGTCAGTGTTACACATATTTAAGGTTAGTGTTTTATGTGATTTTTCTTTACCTTCAGTATGGATTGTATAAATATTTTTCTGGCTTAATCCTGGTCTTTCTTTAATTGTTTGCTTTGGGAGTGAGACATGGGTGAGTCTTTATGCAGCTTTATAAGTGAGGACTGACACTGTGACATTGGCGTGTTTTTGTTGTTGCTTTTCCAGAATTATAGGTTTTACAATGACATGCAGTACAGTTTTATTAATTGTTTGCTTTATACTTTATTTATTCAGACAATATTCTTATTCACAATGCTCTCTGACTAACGTACCTATCCTCCTGGCACAATATACTGCAAAACTGATTTTGGCAAATGTTTATTTGTAACTGCTTACAAGACACACTGTGTGTGTGTGTGTGTGTGTGTGAAAGGGGTCTTTAAATGGCGAGCACCTCAGTACAGCTGTCAGTGACGGTAACGCATTGTGATGACTGAAGTCATCATCACTTCCTGTGTGTCATGGAAGGTGCAGCTTGTGTCTGTCTTCTTGCTAGCCTCTATTCATGTCTCATCTCGTCAAGCTAACCTGCCTCTGAGGTACTCTGAGAACCACACTTGTTTTTCTGTTAGAATTATGACACACAAACCAGTTTTGTAACTGACTCTGTTTTGAAGTTCTGTTTGTTCTTTGGAATGAAGAATGAGAGTACAATGAATTTGAAGGTCTTTGGCATAAATGTTATTACATGTTTTAGCAGGCAGTTTATCTGCACTCTTGGTTGAGACTGAGTGTGGTTCACTTTTTGGTGTCAAGAAAAAAATGGACTGTTTAATGTCTTTTAATGAGGAAAGAACTATACAAGAACTGTAGTATAAAACTATAAAAGTAGCCACTTCTAGCCACTGGGGGACCATAGGCAGGCTAGGGGAACTCATATTAATGTTAAAAAACCTCATAAAGTGAAATTTTCATGCCATGGGACCTTTAAATATGTTGATTAGATCAGAGTTTATTAACATCATGATTCCCACCCTTTAACACAATTGTTTTGAAAATGAGTTTCAACAAAAACATATACCATTGACTAACAACCTCACAGCTGACTGTCTGTCTTTAATGATTTATATTAATATACAAGTTGGCATGAATTAAAAAAAAAAAATTTTTTTGTGAATAATCCATCCATGTATGCTTAATTTTTTTTTTATTTGACCTCATAATTTTGCATCAGAAAATCATAATTTGAACTTTCAAGGGAAACAACATAATTCTCTTTGGTTACATATGCCTTTTCGTCCACTTAATCACTGCCCTTCCACTATTGACCGCAAACATACATTAATTTTTGAGTGAGACACCCACATCTGAAATACAACCAACATCTGATTGATAGAACCCTGCCTAGCATTTTTTCTCTTTACAATAATCCATTGCACCCGAATGTATGTCACAATACAGAAGAAAAGATCTGTCGCTACTTCCAGTTCGTCATGACTTTAGACCACAGTGGCATTCTATATGTGTGTGTGTGTGTGTGTGTGTGTGT